CCCCGGGTGCCCCCCAAAAAAAAAAAAAAAAAAAATAGATATATATATATATATTGAACAAAGAAAGGGGGGAAACACCCTCTTTCCACCTATCTGACTGGCTTCTCAGGTGGAGCCTCTACCCAGCAGCTAGGCTGCTGAGACCCCGGCATGCTCCCTCAGGGCACCTAGCACCCACTCAGGCTGCTCAGGCTGCCCCATCGGGGCCCCACTGATAAGGTCAGCCTCATGGACCTGAGGCACTGACCTGCAGACAACCCTAGTGGGAACCAGAGCAGGACCAAGCTGACAGCCTGTGTGACAGGCCCTGCATCCATGCCACTGCAGCTAGAGATGGTGCTGGAGCTCAGACCTGAAGCCTCCGGGGAGGGACATCCCCAGGTGTGTTTCTGTCTCTGGGCCTTAAGTATTGTGGACCAAACCTGGGTGAGCATCTGCTCCCAGCAAAAGGGAAGACAGGCCAGGAAAAGGCCTCCTGGGTGGCCCTGCCAGCTCCTCTCTGGCCCCAGACACAGAAGCTGTGCTTACGTTTCAGAGAGGGATCAAAGGTCTTGTGGGGGTTCCTCAGCTGCTTCTTCTGCTTGTTCTTGGACAGGCCATCCATGCTGCCCTCCTCTTCCTCCAGGGCTCGCTTGCTGCTACCACTGTTCTCCTTGCTCGCTTCCCTGGGCCTGAAGGGAAAGAGCAATGGGCAGAGACGATACCACAGAGATGACCAGCTGGTCGCAATCAGATGGGCTGGGGCTCAGGTAGAGCCCCAAGTGAGGAGGGGTGGACGGCCAGTGTGGACACTGGTGTCTAGGGCATGTGGGTCCCCCTGGTCCAGCCAGCTCCTCCTGGGCTACCCAAGTGGCTTGAGCCAGTACAGCCCACATGATGGAGTGACTGGCCACACAGAGGCTGGGTCCCTGGGATGGTGTCCAAAGCTCAGGAGCCCAGGGCCTGAGCCACCAAACCTGAGAGGAATGTGGCCAAGAGGACAACCTGCCTCATCTCCAGGAACCCGCGGGAAGCCCCAAGGATGCAACTCATGACCTTAAAAGGCCAGGATGAGAAGAGCTTGAAGCATCTTAGGAAACTTGTCCATGGATAGGACAGGGAAGGATTGAACTGAGCCACCAACACCCTGCAGCAAGGCCACGGAGCAGGCTAGGCAGTGGCCCCACATGCGGAAGGCCTCTCACTGCACCCCACCACCTCCTTCCTCCTCTTCTTTCCCTCAAGAGCAAGAATCTGGCCTTAATGATGGGTTTGCATCCCTCATGAGCTCACCCTGGCCGGACATAGGGCTGGCAGATCCAGTGGAAGAAAGGCAAATCGCCTGCTGGCTGTGCTCCCTCCTCCTGCCTGGACATGTCCTCCTGTCAAAGCCCAAAGGGTCCTTCAGAGACCTGAGCCCCCAGCCTACTACACAGCGGGACTCCCGCAGCCCCACACCTGCCTGACACCGAAGCTTCAGTGCCTGGCTCACAGCGGCAATGCCCTCCAGGGTCTTCACTTTAGCGAGTTCATCTCGAAGTTGCTGGTGTACCTGCAGCCTAAGGCAAATGCCTGTCAGGGGCTGGGCCTGATCCCCGGCTCCCGAGCCCAGGCACACAGCCAGTGTCCCTTCTCACTTCCAGCACCTGACTCGGGGCAAGCGGGGCTGGGGAAACCCCAGGGGGGCCCAGGACAGGGATACCAGGCGGTGCCTGGGCAGCTCCTCACAACTCTGCTGACAGAGGACTCACGTGTGGTGCCACAGCTTGAAAAGGTGGGCCCGGACACAGGACAGCGGGCATGGGTACAGCCGCACGATGTCCAGGTACTCCTCCACCAGTTCCCACACTGCAGGGCTCCGGCCCTCAAACAGGGCGGGGTTGTGCAGGTTACCCTCTGGAGGAGGAGGGATGCCATGGAGGAGAGCTGTGGGCACCCTCCTGGCCACCCAGGACAGAAGAGAGCCGAGGCACCATCTGCTCACCTGCACTCATGACCCCCTGCACACCTGTGTCCTGCATGCACCGTTCCACATCGTGCAGGCTCTGGATGTTCCCATTGGCAAACACAGGGATGGCCACAGCCTTCCTGTCCAGACAGAAAGGCCTGACCCTGCACCCCACCAGGACAGTGCCAGCTGAGAAATGGCAAATGGCACCCAAACTCCACCTTGGCAGGGCCTGCACTGCTTCCTCCCACCCCGGCCCCTGCCCAGTGATCCCCAGTCCCTCTGGCTGGCCATAGAACATCAGGTGTTCCAGGAGCCCCAAGGTGTGGCACTGGGCCTATGCCCTCCCCACTCCACGAAGCCCAACAGACTGGGCTGCATCTCCACCCATGTAGCTGCTTACCGCACAGCCTTAATATGCTCCCAGGATGCTGCTCCCGACAGTGGCCCCTTCTGCTCCTTGGTGCGCCCATGCACAGTCAGCAGCTAGGACACACCAGCGCCCAGCTCAACCCTGCTCAGCCCCCACATGGACTCCAGGAGACCCCCTCCCTCAGTTTCTCAGCTGGGTAGAAAAAAGGCCGTCCTGGGCTGGTCAGTCCCTGCCCCAAAGGCCCTGGGAGCTCTGCCCTTTGGTAGTGAGGCTGCACCCAGAATGCCTGTCCCCACTCCCCAGGGTGAAAGGAGACAGCATCCTTGTCACCTGGCTGAGGGCTGGTGAGGGATGAGCTCTGGGCTGATACGCGACTGACAGGGCATGGGGAAGCAGACCAAAGACAGCATCTGTGCCGAGGCCATGCCTGAAGGTCAGAGACACCTGTCTACTCCCAGAAGCTAAGGCAGAGTCCTCTCCAGGCCTACAGTGGGTCAGGCTCCATACAGAGGACACACAAGAAGGCAGATCTGCCAAGAGTCACCTGACCCCTTCTGAATGCTCCAGGAGGATAGGGTGCATAGTTCCTTCAAGGGAGGCTCTGGCTAGCATCTGGGGCACCTGGGACACGGTGGGCAGCCTAACATCATCCCCTAAGGGAACAATACCCTGCAGCCAGGATGGCAGATCTCAGGGTCTCGGGGACTAGGGGTACCTAACACAGGAGATATACTGGTGCCTCCCCCACCCAGGGGAAGATGAGGCACAAGGATAGGAGCTGCTCTGCTTTGCTGAAACTCCTTGGGAAGAGCTGGATGCTGCTGGAACCTGAGGGCCAACACCCAAACCTGCAAGCCAGGGCCCTCACCTGG